CTACCGCTACCACTACCACTACCGACTGCTGAGCACCTCGTCCTCCGACAAGGGTTTTTGGGTTGTCTAGTTTTCGGCCTTTTGGGGGTCAAGGGGACCTTTTGAGGTTGAGGGTGCTCACGGAGGTTTAGAGGAAAATATGGGGGATTAAGCGGGGCACACATATTAATGCGAAACATGATTGAATTGAACACTGGCCAATATCCTGTCTTCGCTCGAAGACCATCACAATGATACCCCCAGATAACCCACACCCGAAACCTCGTCCCATAAAGCCCAGCCCAAAACAGTGTCATGGTACACATCAGCTAACAGCGGGAGCTTTAAGGCTTTGAGGTTGGGTTTCGTGTTGGGTTGCGGAGGCTTCAGCAGCAGCAGGAGCCCGAACGTTGCAGGAGTTGCATAGCTTTAGTGTAGCCCCAGCAGCAGCAACAACATGTAGTAAAGCATATAGTAGTAGCAGTAGTGGCAGCAGCCGTGACCCGGCCTGCGTGGGGCTTAGGGTTTGGAGGCTTCTGGGCTCGGGTTTAGGGCTTATATACAACATATAAGGCTTATACGGTTTGGGCTTTAGGGATAGCGGGTGCTGGCAGCTAGTGAACAGAAAAGAACGGCAATAACCGTAGCCGGGAAACCCAAACAGCACACTCTGGCTTCTCCCCAGTCGGCGTAGTAGATCACGATGAGCCTATAGGACAAAACCTTGGCAGCGGTCTGTTACGGAAGACTATTTGTGATGTTTTGAATAAAACTCATGCACTAACATGTCTTCTGCAGTTTAGGAGCTGCCCGGCGAGACAGCATGTCAGATAACGACGAAACTTCGGGCATGGCACAGGCATGGCTTTCGGAAGACCACCCATGCAGCGGTTGCTGTTCTCAGCTGGACACTCAGATTGAGCAAGGCACTTCGTGGTCTCGAGCTTTGGAGGTTCATAGTAGTTTAGCACCATGCGAGTGAAGCGGGAGCCATCACCAGAAGAAGTTCCACATGCTGCTTCAATCTACACCACACATGCACTTGAAGCTCTGCAGCACATCACTCTGAAAGCATCATGCGCATACGATGGACCCGTCAGTGTTGTGCATCTGTCCACTAGCAGCCAAAAGACCACATGAGACAACTGAAGAATGAACAACAGGTTCGCGGCGGGGGCACGTCTCGGCTTGCCCTTGAGAAACTTCATGATGTCGATTGGACCTGGCATGTTCGAGCGATTATGCTAATCCTGCAGTACACCAATCTCCAGAAAGCTTTGAAACCATCATCCTAGGCGTCGCTAGAATTCGGCGATTTTGCTCTGCGGCACGGCACGATTGGAGCTGTCAGCACTACCACAGATCGTCCCCGGATACCCGAGTCTAATTGCATGGGGCTAATGCAGGGCCACGAACCTACCTCCCCAAGATAGAAATCCCTATTGTGTATGTTATGTGTCCTAGAGGGAACCCCGTAGTGGACGGAGGAAGGCCCACGAGACCATTGCATCTATATCGCACCAATTAAAAGCTGCTCCTGAATAGCCGGAATGTAAAAAGCACACTCCCACTGAGTCAGCTGTGCACAGAAGATGCAGCTTTGCAAGCTTTGCACACACACAAAAGCGGCGTGGGGCGAGTACTCTCGGAGGAAGCATTTAGAGATGTTGCCGGAGGCAGGACTATGTTAAGTACTTATTATAACTACGATCACGGGCCAGATCTTCGCCTAGGACCTGGGGCCTCGGGGCCTGAAGCCTTCTCGCCTGCAGATTTGGCATCCATTTCGAATCCATCTGCACTTTGCACATCCAAGCGGCACACCGTTGGGCCCCATAACGGGCTCCAAAGGCGAATGGGCAGGACTCTTTTTCGAATTGGCAGCTGCAGCCTTCGGCTTAGCTTTCGCTTCGACAGCCGTTCGCCCTTTGGGTCCCCGTTTCTTGATATTTGTTTCTGCTGGCTTGCTGCTAGCCTCCTTGACATCCTCCGTTGCCGGTCGCCCCTTCTTTCCCACTTTCTTGTTTGGCTTCTCACTGTCCTTGGGGCTTTCAGAGGCTGCATCGGCTTTTCCGGATTTCTTTTTCCCGTTCCCCGTGCCTTTGCCTTTGGCTTTGGCACAGCACGGTTTCTTTGTGTCCCCTTCTGTACCCTTTTGCTTGCCACGGCCCTTAGCTGCCTGGATGGCCGCCTTTCTCGCCTGCCGGAACTCCAACTGATTCTGCGGGCCCACTGCAGCCATCTGAGCAGCCTCCGTAGGCGTCATCAGGAGTATGAACTGCTAGCATGGCATAGATCTTTCGAAACACGAACTCTATGTAATATACCAACAAAACCCTCAGCACCTTTCTCTTCGACCCATTGCTTGACGGTGTGGTAGTCGATGAGGTTGGCTCCGGCGACATCGACATAGGGCAGGTGTCCACCTCCAAGTATTGCCGGCAGGGTTTGTTGGGATTCTGCTCGTTTGTCTAGTACTGTAGCTTGGCGGGTTCATAAGACTACTTCCTGCTGCTATGTTGTATATAGCCAGTATAATGACTTAGCTACATACTGTTTTGGGTACACTTATAAGTATAGTTAGTTGTAGTCGGGTCGTGTGATGAGTTATATAAGGTGCGTATGCGTATTGGGACCTTGCCCGTGCTAAAGTTCCTGGTAGCGGGCTATAAATACAGACTTTACTACGAAGAATAAGTATAAATCTGAGTCATAAGTGGCTGACTGCATATATTGTAGTTAGATTACATAAATATATATGTATGTTAACTAGTTTCGTAGCTAATTAGCCGTAGTTAGCCAGCTATCGCTAGCTATACCTAATTGGTTGGCTGGTTGGTTGGTTGGTTGGTTGGTTGGTTGGCTGGCTGGTCGGTGTCACTTAGTTATATAGTCAATATTGTTTCAGTTCGTTAACCACATTTTTGGTTAGCTAGTTTGCTAGCCAGCTGGCTAACGAGCAGGGTAGTCAACTAACTGTTGTAGCTGGTTGGCTGGTTGCGAAGTCGCTAGTTCACCAGTTAGTACAGTAATTATATCGGGATTTGTAGTTCGGGCTACTACGATAATTGCTTAGCTTCAGCTAGCTAGTTGTTTACAGCTTTGGTTGCATACTGCGGTTGCTTGTTGCTTGCAGTTTTTACCCTATTCATGCTTGCATTTCAATGACTATAGTGCCTCGACTGAGGACAGGTAGTCTATTGCAATATAAACATACACACACACATATATACATATATATTGCAGATCCACACACGTACACGGTGCATCACATAGCTCATGCGTGCAAACACGTAGATCGAGATCTATCAGCACCCATTATACAACACTACGACAGCAAAGCGTCACGAAGCCTAGCTTATGCTAAATCCAAGCTAATGCTAAAGCCAGCCTCATCCGGGTTGACCGGATCTGCAGGACCAGGCTTGGTAGCCGAACCTGACAGCACGGATATGGGCAGCTTATAGGCCTCATAAGTAATATCATGTCAAGCAGGCTAAAGAGCTTGTACTGGATGCTGATTGAGCAACTGGTGCCTGCACTGGCTGGAGAGGAATGCCCAGACCTAGGGTCGTTGATGCTACAACACAGAAAGAAACACCCTCGATCATTGGTTGAGTGGAACGATGAAAAACGTAGTGATGCTTTCTGAGGGTTTGGCGAAATCTTCAGCTCCTCAATCTGCTTCAGCAGACTATCGAGCTCCATCTGCTGGGGCGACTTGGTCTCCCCAACAATCAAGACCTCCTCATTGGCAACCGAAGTTTTCGCCGCTATGCGACGGCAAGGCGTGGTGATTGGCGGATCGGCCGGGGCGGCTTTGGTCTGTTTTGCTGCTGGCTTCTTCATCACTGCGTGGTTCTGCTTGGGCTTCGGCTCGGCTTGCTCTCCATCGGTTTCCATGATTTCTAGTTCTTCATCTTCCTCGCACTCTTCCTCCTCCGGATTCTCTTCATCCTCCTCTTCCGCCTCGCATGTGTCCTTGCCAAACCTCAATGACTGATCTTGGCAAACCCCTTTCAACTTCTTTGGTGAATCTTCCAGGTCGCGATAGTGACGAATCAGCTGGAAAAGCTTTTGCACCTTCTTGTCCTGAGCTTGCTGAGATGCAGCAAGCACCAGCAATTTTGTTCAAATCGAGAAACTTATATATCTACAAAATGGTTTGCACAGATTACCCAAACAAGTTTCTCTAGGGACTTGCTCACGTTTGTGGCTATCGGACTCCCTGCGGTGTGCGTAGCCGAAGAGTTTTCGAATAGCCCACGAATCGTTGTAAATCTGAGTCGGGGCCACTTCCCATGACATTTTGTCGTAGAACTTGGTAACCTCAACTCGATCAGGAAATATCAACACAACTATGACTATAACTCATTTGTTTCTGACTTGCCAAACCATAACAGAAATGCCAAGTACTCCGAAGGACGATGTTCGTGATGTCGCCGATGGCTGGGGTCTTTAAGGACTTATGTTCCTCATAGAGACAATGGATCACGGGACAATTTAGCTCCAAAGCACGTGTGCTCGGCTCCCCAATTAACTCGGGCTCCACCTCTCCCCAAGAAAGCCATGTCAAGTTCGCCTTCTGGCGGCTTTTCGAAAGTGGCAGGTGCTGCCAGGCTTTCGCAACCCGTCCAAGCGGCATGACGGCCCGAAAATGCTACAGTGAAGCTGTCGAACAATCTTTGCATATGCCACCTGTCTAGAGCAGCCTGCGTGTATGAATGAGCAGCTACATATACAAAATGCAAATGGACTCCACCCCAAGCCCAAAATGCTCCGGAGGTTTGCATGCATGTCCCAGACTGTAACACTCCGTGAGCATGTATAGCTATATGTATTGGGCATGCATGTTATGCATGTTCCTTTCTCACACATTTTATACATATATATATATATATGTGCGTATGTAAATGTGCCTCGAAAGCTTCAAGCTGCTAGGCATGTGGCCACATCTACTCACACAACATGTTGATGTTTCGTGCTATGCTTACCCACCTATTCTGTGCATGTTTCCTTAAACCTAACTTAAGCTATCAGACCCACCAACCGTGCAACCTCAAGTATCCCCCATGCAGAGCAGCACAAACGAGAAAGCGAGCAGGCCCACAATTGAAGATGTCGGTCTTCAGGAGGACAAGGCCTGCCAATCGAGTATTATGGTTAAGCTCGGTTCCTTTCGATGTTGACTGAGTGCAGTATCTAGCCAGTGGCTTGTAAGGCATACACTATCCTGCAGGAACATGCAAGCGATTAACCGGTGGGCCTCCACAGCATCTTAGAAGATGAAGTCGTCATCGCCAAGAGCCTGCATTGATCATCGAACACTGCACTTGTAATGCCCTCTCGACATCACCGACCATTCACAAACGGGTCTCTTTTCTCCAAAACATATACCCCTATAACTCCCAAACCTCGCACTCTCCTTCCCGGCCTTCTCCAAGAACACCGTGCCGGCCAGGCACCGATGAGCGATGCATGCGGGATGTGATCTTCTCTTGTAGGGGTGGTTGGGATCACCATAAGCGGGATGTGATCTTCTCTTGTAGGGGTGGTTGGGATCACCATAAGCTTCTTTGGTTGACTTTATGCCCTGCATATTAAGTTATGTCCTCAAATGTGATCATCCGAGACTTTGCGGCACATGCACTGCGGAAAAGAGACCGGTGGCAAGATTTATGTGCGGTGTCCTAAATAAGTGCAACTGCGAGTCAAGGCCGAAGTGGCAAGAAAAGTAGGCAACTATAGCGTTCCAGGTAGGGTTTAGGGTTTAGGGTTTCTGAAATGGAGGTCTGTGTCAAAGCCTTCCGCTCGTAGTCTGAAACTCCCAGTGGGACCATATTCGGGGGTCACTGAAGAGCCCCAGAAGATTGGGGAGACGTCCTCATTATATCTCCATGGCTCAGTATAGACCTGGAACCTTATGAAGATTGTGATGATGATGATGATGACGATTACGAGGTCCTGTCGTATTGACGGAGATGATGTCGTGAGTGCAGCTATGATGACGGCTTGCCGTCGCAACGATAAGCATCGTCAAGTAGCCGAATGCCAGACAGCTAACATGCAGAAGGACTATTTCTCTAATTCAGGGTCCCTTTTAGGTAGGTTTTCTAAGGGTGCCGTGCTCTATTGGGGACCCAAGAAGGCACCCGAATTTAGAGAAGTACCCTCATGACCAGCTACCGGCTTCAGACGGAAACTCCCAGGTCGATGATGCGAACCCCTTGTAATCTAGGGGCCTTAGGGTTTAGGGTTTAGGGTTTAGGGTTTTGGGGTCCATGATAGTATATGTATACGGTAATTGTGAATAAGGCCCCTATATTATAACACCTGTGCTCAACCCTGACGCCCTCTTGAAACCTCAGACTCAGCCACCATCTGGCGGCGGAGAAGACTGTTAACAGAACGCGAAATCTTCTTCAAACAATCCTACCGCCTGAGGAGATCTAATATAGGTGCCTTAATAATTTGAATAGTGTTTTGGGGCATCTAATACTATAATTATACTAAGAAGCCCCAAAACAGAATAGTCAAATTATCAAGGCCCCTATATTACTCGAACAGAGCCCAACTTTAGGCCCGGACCTGAGGGTGTGCGCTGCAAGCTCAAGTCCACTGGCTCAGCGGGGGCATCGTGAGAGAAGAGGGACAGCTGCCTCAGACACAGAAGCAAGCCCCCTTATCGGCTCGAGGGGCTGAGGGTTTAGGGGGGGTTTAGGGTTTACTTAGGGGTTTAGGGTTTAGAGAGTTTCATGTGAAATTACAAGGACTCCTGTCTATTCCGGTCCGGCGTTTAGGGATTAAAGGGTTTCAGGCTTAGGGGTTTGGAGAGTTGTGAAATTCAACTTGGCGAGAGAAAACCCTCCAACCCTAGACAGCCGAGACCAGAGCCTACCTGGAGTGGTCCCTGCTGTACTTTGTGCGCGCTAAAATCACTGCAAGGAGACACTGAGTGGTGCCAGTATGTGTCGGCAACTCAAAAAAATGAAGCAATACCCTGATACAACGGCAGCGCAAATTACAACACGGACGTCCCTGCAAACACTAACAATCATCATTTACATGGTGATGACACGCACTGCGCAACCATCACCACTGTTGTTAGCAGCTCATCAATCCGTTCTCATCACCATTACTAGCATCATGAGCACCATCATCATAATCATCATCATCGTCATAATCATCGTCGCCGTCGCCATCGCCAACAAACTTCATCCTCATCATTCGCGTTAGTGTTTGACATTCTTAGTGACACTGTTCTGACCAAGATCAACAACACAACGAAACACAGACCTCATCATGATCTGCGTCAGCGTCACCTTCACTGCCTTCGGTGACAGCATTAGCGCTTCAACAGAACTACTACCATCAACTCGAGCCTCGCCATGGTAAGCATAGTGATGACAATGGTATGTTTCTTCTGATGGTGATGGTGAGGGCGAGGATGCTGATGATGATGGTGATGACGGTGATGATGATGATGACGACGATGATGATGATGATGGTGATGGTGGTGATGGTGGTGATGGTGATGGTGATGACGATGACGATGAGTGGCACCTGCATCACCAGCATCATGGTCGAAACGATGTGACCATCACCGTGATTGTGATGCTAAACCCTATACCAAGGACATACATCTCGTCATCATAGCCCTTTTGTCACAACTGCACGCCTGCACTGCATGGCTTTGACTTAACCCGGAACTCGTTTCTTCAGCACGACAATGACGCCTTGTACAACCTTTCTGAGCGAAACTCACGCTGAAATCGATGCCAAGACTGGCGATCAAGGGTTCTGACTGCCAGCCCTGGAAAAGGGAAACCTAAAACCTCAAGCCGAAGGTTTTCCGGCAGCTGCGATGAAGCCAACAGGGTCTTTGACACAAAGACCCTTCAGAACGAAAGCGACGTCGGTGGACAGCTTGAAAACGCAATCTTTAACATCCACAGTGTTCGATGTGAAGGATTGTGTGCAGATAGACACGGAAAACTAGATGGACAGGCACAGGCAGATACATATGGATTCTGAGGGAAAGGCAAAGATAGACTCAGACAGATCCCTCGGCGCAATGCTTGCATCTATTCTGCGTCCTACCCCACGCGGTGGACTGCAGCGGTTGGGTATGGAGCAGCCCTTGCCGCTCTGGAAAGCTTTCCGTTGATGCCCGCCTCCAGCAGACCTGACTTTCCGCGGTTGGGTCTCTGGGAGAGGCTGGGAGATTGAGATTCGACTCCAATATAGAGGCCTTAATAATTGGAATAGGGTTGTGGGGTATATGATACAAGAACTATAAGGTTATTATTTAGGCCCCTATATTATGTGGGTTTGAGAAGGGTTCTATGAATGCTGTACAGTGCATGAATGATAACGGCAAGAGGACTGGGCTTTAACGTTGACTACCATGAACAGCGTGTGTAGTCTTTTTTTGCAAACTATAGGGCCTCCATGCTCGGGTATCTGAAACTTAAGTCACTGGACGAGAGCCCAGAGAATGAACCTGCATACCTTTGAGTGCAAGTGTGAAAGTGTCGAAACCGTCGTGGTGCAAGCAGCTCGCCTAAAGCTTAAGGAAACTAACTACATGCAAAACATTGAGACCACGGCTCGCGATCACACCAACCAAAGTGTCTGTTGATGCAACAATCTTCGGAAACTTGCAGGAAACAGGAAAGTTGTGCTTGCAATACGAAGCAAGAAGCTTTTGGCGACAGCGCAGTCATCCGCATAGAACAGAGGTGTCTTGCCAGACATGTCCGTGGCGTTGGCATCCGCCCTCTTCTCCAGCAAATATCCTCGGCCACTACTGCATGCCATCGTTCGTACACATGGAAAGTGTCGTCCTCTCATTCTTAACGCCTCCCGGGAAAAAACAGTCATACAGCAAAAGCCTCTGCATAAATGGCAAACTTAGCCGTAAGAGTAAACCCTCAAGCTGAGATTACCGAAACCTGCGCAAGAAAGCTTAGAGCTGGATCCCAGAACCTACATGCGGATTGATTAGATGTCCTTGAACGAATAACGAAACGTACTTGCATAGTTCGTCCATTCTTAACCACCGCAGCTTACAGTGGCTGCTATGCTCAACCTCAACTTGCTTAATCACACTCTGACTGCTTTCCCATAGCCCTACGAGTCCATGCACCCATATATAGTATATACATGTTTAGGCCTCGCATACTCTCAGGGCCAAAGCACGTAGTCCTTGAACTCCGAACAACACCGAAACCCTAAAAGCCAAACACCGCCGGCCAAAACCCCAATAATGAACAGCCCCAATAGACACTAAACCCCTTCACTAAAGCAGCCCAACAAAACACCACCCCAAACCCTAAACCCTAAACCCCTAGACACTAAACCCTAACCCCTAAACCCAAACCCCTAAACCCTAAACCCTAAATCGTGCGAGCGTCGGACGACGGAAAGCTGACCCCTCCGTGCCGCTGCCGTGAGGGGCGGAGTGCCGTCGGCGGAGCGTTGCTCCAGCTGGGATCGGGCCTCGAGCCTTTGGCTCTAGGGTTTAGGGTTTAGGGTTTAGGGGTTAGGGTTTAGGGGTTTAAGTTTTAGGGTTTAGGGTTTAGGGGTTCAAGGTTTAGGGTTTAGGGTTTTAAGATTCAGGGTCCAGAGCTTAGGGGGCCTTAGTTTGGGGTTTCGGGTTTACCTTAAGAACCCCAAACCCACTTGTTTGTAGGCTCTTATTATAAACCCTAATATGGGATTTATAGGGACCCTACAAAAAAGTAGGTTTTGGGTTCTTGAGGTAGTGTTGCAGGATGCTTCAGGGTTTGGAGGCTTCTCTCTGGGTTTTGGGTTTGGGGGCGTGTCCAAGTTGTTGTTCTGCAACTGTTGGCGTAGGAGTCCGGGTGCTTGCTGGTACTAAGGGTTTACTGCTTGGGCTTTGGGGGGGGCTTAGGGGGATAGTTTTCGGGCTTGGGGGTTTTGTCGGGGTTTCTGTCGGTCCGAAGTTTAGGCTGCGTTCAGAATCGAGACTTGTCTGCAGGCTTGAGGGATACAGTGCTTAAGCGTCGTCTTGCTGCGCGGTAGCTGATTGCCAGAGAGACAAAGGAAGCAACTTTCGAGTCTGAGGGTTTGCTGCCGAAATCCCCATTAAGCCTCTGGGGTGGTGTGAGGGTTTAGGGTTTTGGGATTGCGGCTTCAACGCCTAACCCTCAAATCCTAAACCAGGGGAGGGCTTCCCTGCTTTACGACTTGGGGCTCATTGTCGTGACTGTTCAGGGCTGTCTCGAGGGTATGTCTACGGTGTAAGCTCTGCCCAGGTGCAGATGTCTGACCACATGCAGGTGGCCCACATCAGCAGCGATAAAGAGGGGCGACTGGCCAATCCGGTCCGCTTGATGCAGGTCGGCCTCTGCAGCCACCAGGCAATTCACGACCTGAGGCAGCAGCGGCAGTGGCAGCGGTAGCCGCAACAGCAACAGCAACAGCAACAACGAGGGTAACGAGTCTTGCTGTGCGGCTGTGGTGCCGCACTCTCTCGCTCTCTCTCTCTCTCTCTCTCTGTTTTGCTGCGGGGCTTTTGTATTGACGATGATGCTCTTGCCGAGTGACATCCAGGTAGCCTTTCCCAGCGGCGATAAACAGAGGCGTGTGACCGTGTTGATCGGCTCGATCCTTTGCCGCCCCGGCTTCCAGGAGGTAGCGCACCACCTTGCCACTTCAAGACGAGACTGTTGATACAGGGAGGGACAAAAATAGACCCGAAACCATCTATAGGATCCTGGTCTTGATGAACCCCAAACAGGATCCTTAACTTTCGGGAAGTTTGTCTGTTGATCGTTAGGGGAAGCGCGGGTGAAAGCCTGAGGATGTTTAACGATCGAAAAATTCTCTGGGATGGGGGATACGCAACTGAGGGACCTTAACTGAGAAAAGTAAACCAGCATAAATCTCTTCAGGCTGGACCAAGCCTCAACGCAGCCTACATGTACAGCGCTGATCAAGGAGGTCTGGCGATAGCGATCCTCCTTGTTCGGGTCTGAGCGTGCCAGGAGCAAAGACCGGACGATCTCAACCTGCGCAGGTGCACCCCCACTCAAAGGACCATGCGACTGAGCAACCAGGGTTATACGAACAAGAAAACCATAGATGAACACAGAACAATCGTATAAATAAACACACATATAATATAGACATAGATAGATTAATGGATAGATAGATAGATAGATAGATAGATAAGTTGACATATAAATAGATACATAGACAAATAGATATAGAGAGATAGATGGATAGATAGGTAGATAGATAGATAGATAGATACATACATAGAAAGATAGATAGACAGACAGACAGCTAGATGGATAGATCGATAGGTAGATGGATGGATAGATAGATAGATAGATACAGGCAGTGGTGAAAAGCCGAACCGACCCTTCTGGAAGATACTAGACCCCTTTGAACGCTCCGGTTAGGGCGAAGGCAAAGAAGTCACGACCAAAAGCGGTGCAGTAACACCCTTGAACGCACAGGATAATGGGAA